AGATCGTGTTCGGCTCAGTGTGTGCGTTAAGATCCGTAGTTTTGCAAGTTTGACTATAGTGCCGATATGGTGTCCCGTTTTTCGGCAAACACGAAAAAAACGTGACTTCGTTTCTCTCTTCCTCCGCTTAGAGTTTCGGCAGGTTTCTGCGGCGCACAACGACTGCTCCGTTTTCTTTCGACTGAGCTCTCAGAATCAGGCCTCCTTCCATGAATTTTCTCATCTATCCTCTGACTCTGCCTCCGACTTGCCTCAGAAAAACATTATCACGATTCTATCATCCTGATTCCCAAGCTTCCAATTCCTATCGCGAGAGCCATTGGAAAACGAAGCGCGCACCCGTTCCGAGAGGGATCTCTGACGACTCGTCAGTCGACAGCAAGCAAAATGAACTTTCGACCCCTGGCTTCATTGTTCCTGAGCACCAAGCTCATCGGTGATGAGATACTTCTCACGCCAAGGGGGAATATCTTTCCATGAGTGTTGAGTTCGTATGCGGCTAAGAAGGCTACACGGAGATGCGACTACACAGCTCAGCGATCAGTGATCAAGTGACGTGGCGTCTGCGCGCCCCGTCTATTTATTGAAACTATCTTAGCACGAACACGGACAACTCGATGCTGGACAAGTCGATGTCGGACAACTCGATGTCGACAACTCGATGCCGAGACAACGCGATGCCGGACAACTCGATGCTGGACAAGTCGATGTCGGACAACTCGATGCCGGACAACTCGATGCCAGACGACGCGCGCACGGAATCACGCGTCGCTACAGCTGACAGAGATTCGAGAACCAAGCGAGCAGCTTCAGCTGACTGAGGATCGAGAGCCGATTGAGAGAGACGCTACAAGCTGACACAGGAATGATAAACGTGACCAGCCTTATGTATTCCACTGCCGAATCTTTCAATGCTGAAAATATAATACAATCCCCTAGCAATTCCGCTGGCGCACGTTTCGTCTGGGAAAATATACTCTTTCATATCAGAATCATTCCCCGAAAAGCTGTAAGAGTCAATGGTGCTAGGAGCCTCTATGGCAGAAAGTCCAGAGAGCTTCGTCTGTCGTTCCAGTCATTACAATACTTTGAGCCACCATCAGTTTTGCCATCCTCGGGTAGCATGCTCTCGTGGAGATCAATTTGGAACGTTGTGCACGAGGGCTCTGGAATCGTTCGATTCGTAAGCAACTACCATAACAATTCTCAAGCTTCAATCAAACGTCCTACGAATCCTCCACGAACAAAGCCTCCTAAATTCTATGTTCGAAGAAAATGGCATCGTCCTCCGGTGCGGTAGTTTCGCAACGCGGGAGACTGAAGAGGGTCCACGAAGGCCACCTGTACATCAGAGAGAAGTTGAGTAAAGACGGTGCTACCCGATTCTGGCGTTGCCACCGAGTCGGCGCTTGCAAAGCGCGGCTGCACACTTGTGTCGATACGGATGAAGTCATCAAAATGATAGGCGTTCACAGCGATGAACCGGATCCAGGGTCGATCGAAGTTGCCAGCATGCAGTGTAGTTTGAAACGTCGTGCGGTGGAGAGTCAATGCACGCCAATCCAGTTGATTGAGACTGCGTTCGGAAGATCCTCCACAGCTGCCAAACTCTCCGCTCCACGTCCGGAGTCCATGGCTCGAATGGTCAATCGAGCCCGGAGAGCAGCATCGAGACCCCCCGCGACACCGTTGAGTCGAGCAGCTATCGTGATACCCCCTGAGTTCACCGTGTACGAGAGTGATCCAGGCGTTTTCGAATCCTTCCTCCTAGGCGACTCAGGTGACTTTCTCACGACTAGATTTTTGATCATCTTCAGTTTTCGATATGAGTCCAGGTATTCATGTGGCCACGACTTATCTCAAAGGCATTCATTTTTCTCCGATAGGTGAGGGCGACGAGCAACGGATTCTCTTGTTTGGACGAGAATCTGTTTCCGAATGGATCC